GGGGTGGGGGGTGGGATGATTTACTATGCTTTTCATGGAAGTATTGTATTTAATAATTCATGTGAAGAAACTTCGGCTAGACTGTTGGTCACTGTGTAATTTTAGGATATATTAGTATAACAAGAGAGACCATCAACATGTAAAACAAACACCTTTCGCCTCTTAGTTCAAAAGACAACGAAAAAAAATAGTTATAATAATGATAATAATAATGATAATAACATCTTCTCACCCCCCATCTAAGTTAAAGGATGGAAAGACCTCCTGGAGTCTTTGTTTAACCATATCTTCTGACATGTTTCTAGAAAACTGCACATCTTTTCTATATTGTCCTGTTTCTGGCCTTTTTATTCTGGCCATGTCGATAGTGGTGGGCAGAAGTACGTGTCCATTATCTCTTTGACAATCCTCAAACCTGAGCAAAATTACGTTTTTCTTAAAAAGATTATCACTCATCACTGAATCAACTACTGAGTCACAGTGCTCTTGTCTCTGAGTGTGTCTTCTATAGAAAAGAAAAATAGAAATTGAAGAAAATTAAATTTGATGCTTCATCCCTAGTTAAAAACGGATTTGTAAAAATGTTATTTTACTATTTTTTCCTTTTATCCTCAGATCTTTGCACTAAATAGCTATTGCAATAGCCTGTTATTAGCGTTCGGTTAGTAAAAACGAATCGCGATAATAGCGGCGGAGTGAGAAAAACGAGGGAGGCTTGGGTAATTTTTTGCCCAGCCTGCCTCAAGCCTCCCACATTTTTTTACTTCGCCGTTACTTGTCGTACTGTTTATTATTTCACTCTATTTTAGAAACTGAACGTCTGGAACAGGCCATCACTGCAAGTATCTGTTCATTTTCTTCAGTATTTGAAGAGGTTATTGGTATCCAGAAGAGGTAGGGCTTGGGGAGAAACAATACTGCGAAGGACACGAGCTTAAAATTTAACTGGACAGCAATATGCTACATTCGCGGCCAAAGTAGTTTTTCAGATAATATAACAGAAGTCCGGGGGCTGCCTGGGAGATTTTGGGAAAAGAATGACAGCTGGAGTCTAGGAATAGCTGGAAAACAGAGCTGTAAGTCCCCTGTATGCATTTTCAGAGTCGAATACTTATCCTTTGAAAGTTTTGTTTAATATTTGTTTGACACTCTTTTTCCATAAATGTATTCAAAGGGGAAAATTTGAATCAAGGCGAGGCATTTCAAATTTCGATACCTTGCCATAATGTGCCAACCAACAGTTTGAAGGAAATTTGTAAAAAATCATTTGCATTTTTATTTTCGAAGCAGGAGAAACCGAAGGAAGTAGGTTCGTCGACGAGCTTCGTCGCTTTGTGCGAAGTTTGAATTAAGAGAAAGTTCTTTCCTGCTAATTGACTGCGGAAGCAAAGACAAAGAAGACTGAAGAGGACTAGCATTATGCAGTCGAAACGTTGCGATCCGTTCAAGTTTGCACACACATAAATTTACACTGTACCGTAGGAGATGTCTTCGCTGGCGTGATCAATTAGTTATGACAATAGAGCGAGTTCGTCTGACCAGTGAACCGTTTGTTCTAAGAAAATGACAAGAACAGTTGTGAACCTTTACTCAACAATAAATGCTACAAATTGTAATGATTATCGTTGGGTAGTGGGGACTGTCAAGTCACAAAAATCAGCAAAAAGGCAACTACCGTTCAAAAGCCTTTTCACTCCACAGAACGTACTTGCCTTGTTTTGGCTAAAAAAAAAAAGAAAACACTTGTTTTGAACTGTTCATTAGTGCGTCTACGAAGACCTGTTTGGACACGCACTAAATGCGCCATTAATTAAGCGTGGAAAAAATATGTAACTTCGGCAACTTCCTACGTCACAACGCGATGCAGTTCCGCTTTTAAATTTTTGGCCTGCAGATGGTCCTTTCATCTCTTTGAAAATATATGTTTCTTGTTATGTTGTTACGTATATATCTAAATAGTTACCTGCTGCTGAAATAAAGTACTTCACTTCTTTTTCGCGGGGATAAAATAAAGGTCAACTTCAATGGCCTATAAAAGGTATGCCACAAACATTAATTTTACAGATCATACTCGACATGATATTAAAACTTTATGCTAAAGCTTTAAAACTTAAAAACTTTTATGCTACATTCGCGGCTGAAGTAGTTTTCCAGATAATATATCAGAAGTCAGAGAGCTGCCTGGCAGATTTTGGGAGAAGAATGACAGCCGGAGTCCAAGAGTAGCTTTAAAACAAGGCTGTAAGTCCCCTGTGGGTATTTTCAGAGTCTAATCACTATCCTTTTAAAGTTTTGTTTAATATTTTTTGACACTTATTTTCCATAAATGTATTGATAGGGAAGAATTAGAATCAAGGCGAGGCATCTCAAATTTCGATACGTTGTCATTAAGTGTGTGGAAACCAACAATGTGAAGGAAATTTGTGAAATATCACTTGCCATTATTGCATATTCTATTTTCGAAGCCGTTTTCCTTCACATTGTTGGTTTCCACACACTTAATGACAAAGTATCGAAATTTGAGATGCCTCGCCTTGATTCTAATTCTTCCCTATCAATACATTGTGTGAGGTTTGAATACTGAGAGAAAGTTCTTTCCTGCTAATTGACTGCCAAAGCAAAGACAAAGAAGACTGAAGAGGAACAGCATTATGCAATCGAAACGTTGCGATCCATCTTGAAGGTGACTACATCATACTTCATTTAAGTTTCCACACACAAAAATTAACACTGTACTATAAATGTCTTTACTGGCGTGATCAGTTAATTATATCGGCTATTATGATAAAAGAGCGAGTTCGTCTGACCAATGAACCGTTTGTTCTAGGAAAATGACAAGAACAGTTGTGAACATTTATTCAACAAGCAATGCTACAAATTGTAATGGTCAAAGTCGTTGGGTGGTGGAAACTGTAAAGTCACAAAAATCAGCAAAAAGGCAAAGTACTTTCAAAAGCCTTTTCACTTCACAGAACGTGCTTGGCTTATTTTGGCTAAAAAACAAAACACTTCTTTTGAACAGTTCATTGGTCCGTCAAGACCTGTTTGGACACGCACTAAATGCTAACGAGAAAAACAATTTAGAAAGTTGGGAACACTTGAATCTTTCGTGCATGTCCAAACTGGTCACGAACCAACTGGACTGCTCATGAAAAGGTTTTTGTTGTTTTTTAGCCAACAACGACTCAAAAACATTCTGTGGAGCCAAAGTTTAGAGATGTGCACTTATGCATGTTGTGCTTTTGCAGATATTTGCCCTCTTGTTGACTTTTACAGTTACCACCACCCGACGAAAATCATTGCAATTTGTAGCGTCGGTTGATTGAATAAATGTTCACGACTGTTCTTGAGAGCCACCGACCATAAGTGACGAGAATTCGACGACATTTGCAAATTTCGTGATTATTTTTATTTTTCCTAAAGGAGCCTCCTGACGAATCTTTTTGAAAAATTATATCAGAAAGTTCTATCGTGCTTCGCTTACTTCGAAAAATCGAAAAGTTAAAAATAGGCCGAGATGGCTTCACCATTAAGCAAGGAAAAATTATGCAACTTCGTATGTCTCAACGCGATGTAGTTCCGCTTTTAAATTTTTCGCATGCAGATGGCCCTTTTATCTCTTTGAGAATATATGATTGTTATTATGTTGTTACACTTAAGTCTAAATAGTCTTAAAAAATACTTCGCGTCTTTTTCGTAGTGGTAAAGTAAACTTCAACTTCAATGGCCTATTAAAAGGTATGCCATGTACACTGACTTATTATAATCGACATCATCTTAAAACTTTATCCTTGAAGTTTAATTTCTCCGATATCTATCTTGGCCCACCAAAAGCAGCACGTCCCGGTTAAAAGAGCTTGAGCTGTTATGACAAAAATGCGATGCGTTGTGGCGTACGAAGTTGCCGAAGTAGATTATTTTTAATTGCTTTGCGGTATGGAAAAGAGCCATCTAGGCGTATTTTGAACTTTTCGATTTTTCGGAGAAAGCAAAGTGCGACAAAAATTTTTGATATACTTTTTAAAAAAGGTTCATAAGAAGGTTTCTTTAGGAAAAATAAAACGAATTACGAAATTTTGCAACCGTCGGCGGATTCTCGATTTTTTAAGGTCAGTGCCTCTTAATTGTTTTTCACATTTGCATTTAGTGCGTGTCCAGACAATTCCTCGACGCGGAGAGCCATTAGAGGACAAGTTCAAGAGGGAGGGAAACTTCACCTATGATAATTGCTCACGAGCTTGCACTTACAGGGATTTGAGATAATTAATTGTTTTTACATTTGCATTTAGTACGTGTCCAGAAAATTCTTAGACGCGGAGAAATAGAGAAAAAAAAAGAACTAAAACACGAAAGTTTTACAGAGTGGTGCTTCTTATCGGTACATGTAGCACCAACGATTAAAAGAATTTTAAAACCTTCTAAGGGGGCTGTTACGATGGCGCACATATTTCCCTTGAACACACGTAGAGCGCGTGCGTTCGTCTGATAATTTACCTCGGAATACTTCACACATTCTGGACATAACCAGACGAAAACACTTTTTAATACACGTTCGGTGAATGTTCGATTCTGCTTTTGCATATGTTTTGATTCAATCGATCTTCTGAAAATCTCAGAATAAAAATTGGTCACAGCAACTAATTATAATTTGGCCCCACAAAAAAGAAGTTCAAGAGGAAGAGAAACTTTGCCAATGACCGATGCTCACAAATTTGCACATATATAAAGGACAATGCAGAATATTTTAATTTAGCTATTAGAGAACAAGTTCCAGAGGGAGAGAAACTTCACCTATGATTATTGCTCACGAACTTGCACTTCTAGGGGATTTGAGATGCGCCGTGCAAATTTCTATCAAACTCGTACCTGCAGTAAAGGTCGATGTGTTCTCCAAGTTATCGATTTCAATTCTGTTTCATTAGGATTGAATATGTGATAATAATCCCACTAAATGCAAGGTTCCAAGTGTTTGTTCACTAAAGAAATTGTCCTTTGCGTAAGAAAAAGCGGAAGTGAACGAAGTCGCCATTGGATGGCAAAATTAAGGATTTAACTCTTTAATTTTTAAGTAATAAGAGAAAAAGTATAATAGTTACCTCAAAAGGAAAAAGATTGGCTAATCACAAGTGAAGGATGCAACCACGACTTTCCCAGATAAGACTTGTTATCTGAATGCCGGTCGGTCTTGATATGTGACATCCCGGAAAGAGTGTTACTTATATCCTATTCATGGTGTGGGAATGAGTAACCATGGATACCGGCTGTTAAGGTTAAACATTCACTTAGCCGTTAACGTTACGTTGGAAAGGCATCATGTTTACACTCGCCAAGAGTCCACCTTTTCTTCTTGGAACGATGCTTGGCTTAGCAGTGTGAACAGTTAGATAAATTATAACTCAACATTTTCAGTTTCCCTTCAAATCAAAGGTTTTGAACCTGAAGACAGATAACTATCGCGGTCTAATTAGTTGTGTGCCTTAAATAATTTTTATTTGCCGGCAAGGGGTATAACAATGATACTTAAGATATTTAGAGTGAGGTTGTAAATTGTTGTTTTTGTATTATTCCTAGCACTCTCTTCCAAACGCTGTTACTTTGTTCAAATTTACCCCCCCCCCTCCCCTCTCCCTTTTTTTTTTTTCTAGTGCTTACACGACTTTCCAATCAAATCACTTTTAAATTGAAATTTCAACTATGTGCACTTTTTGGGATTAGTTGACGTGCTGTTAGCCAATGGGTAAGCTGAATCGTGCAGGCATGTAATTAAATGGAAAATTAAGGTCAGCGGATGGTAAGAGATGACCTCAACGGCGTGATCAATCAGTTATATCGGCTGTCATGACAATAAGTGAAGTAGGGTGACCGAGATACGGTAAAAGAAGTAAATTAAAACACGAAAGAGCTACGTACCTGTAGCACCAACGGTTAAGTGATGTGAAAACCTCATAAAGAGGTTTTTATGATGGCACACGTATTTCTCGTGAACATACTTTAACATTTTTAGTCATCTACACTTAGCACTAGCAATATCTAATAATTTACGTCGGAAGAATTTGAACAGTTTGAAAATGGGACCGTGATATTACCAAGCTTCGGTTTCCGTACAGTGGTCACATAATTGGTATCTTGGTCACCACTTATAAAATTTAGGCATTGATCATTGCTCAATGGGGTGTGATTTAGTTCAGTGTACTTCTTGCTTCATAATAAACATATGTGCATTAAGCCTTCTGTTCTTGATTGAGAAGTACAACATATCCCATTCAATTTTTTGGAAAAATGTCCCCTCAGTCATCCCTGCTCATCGGTGTGAAGGCTGGCTGATTTTCTATAAGATGCCGATGAACTGACGCAAGTAACCGGATGAAGACACTCTTCAATGCACGTTTGATGAATGTTCGATTCTGCTCGTGCATAAAAAAAAGTATTTATGCTTGGGTCAGTCGCTCTCCTGAGAATCAAAGAATAGTAACCGGTCTAATTTGGAAAAAAAAAAAAAAAAAACAAGCTCAAGAAGCAGAGTAACAACCACCCCGTGCAAAGGTCAGAAAGCGCTGCTTCGCATATTAAGAATTAGACAAAATGAGTCTACTTTTCTTGATAACAAGAGTTACTCAGCTATAAGGGCCCGTGTTTCAGCTGAAAGACTTATCCAAACAATGATATCACGGCTTAACTTTTTCATTAAATGTTACCGAAATTTTAAGTAACTCTGTATTGGAGGAGACGCGCACCAGAAGCTACTTGTTTTTAAGGAGAATACGGACGTGCTGCCTGAAACAGGGAGTCCACTACCTTAGTGCTAAAACTTTTGGGGGGATGGTAAAAGCAGTACGCTGGTATTCAAGAAGTTTGTGTTGTATTTTTTACAAAAGTCTCGTTGTTCTCAAAATGAAAAATCTCCTGTGGCATTATCTCATGTGTTTATTCATTCATTTTTCAAACGTTTTTAATTAGCAAGGAAACCTACGCATTATTTATCGCCGGAGGGAGGGTGTGGGATTTGAGTTGCGCCACAATAAAATTTACCTGATCCCCCCCAAGCTCTGTAGTAATCCCCTGAGCCCCCCCCCCATTGGTGTTCAATTTTATTTGGTCCCCCTCTTAAACTATGTTGGCATCGACTG